GGGAGACAAATTTTCTGACTCTTGTCTTTTTCGGCACATCCCGAGATGTGCCGATTAAATTACAAGTCGACGAACCCCTCTTTCCCTCGTGGCGGCGCCCTTTGCCGCCAAACAAATTTCGCACAGAGTTCTTTCCATCAGCTGTGCATACAGGGTTAAGGAAACTTCGTGCCCTTCTTTGCTATTTGGTTACCTTTTCATCCCAGCAGAAGATCAGATTTTGTGTGGTATTCTCCTGGACTATTATTTTCTGTATCGTTAACTTGATACAAACGAATTTATTTAATATTTTGTAGAAATTTTTTTAAAATTTTCGATCAACAATGCAAAGATACTCCATTCAAGTCCAAAGGGAAGATGTGATCCGACATGCGGAGATAGGGACAATGGTCTAAGGAGCAATGATGTCAGCATATCTGTGCCCCATTACCTTGTCTTCATTCGTTTACATTCATTGTGCATAGATGTCGCCGTCACGTATGCAAAGTTTTCCATTTTTGATGGCTTGCTTATACTGTATGTGTCTTGGTCACTTATTCTGATCCGAAGATGATGTTCGAGGTCACTGATTATATAAAATCTGTCGTGAAAGTCCATCGAGCAGAATTATATGCTCTCGGGAAAACTTTGAAATGTTTTCGAAGACGACAGCCGTTATTAATACAGTGAAGTATATCACTTATACTCGGCATCGTCGAGGTATCTTCTATCAATTACCTTTAGCACGAATAATTATAACAGCGCGGGTTATCATTGATGTTATTTCCTCGTGACATTCAGGGAAGTCCTAGTCTTTCGACAAGCATTATGCAGTGTACACATGTAGTTTTATTCTTCTCCACAAACCAACAGGGAAAAGGTGGGGGAGCAACTCCGCAGAACGGACGGCGGTCCGTGATTCGTCGCAACAACAGCGTCACCTCCCGGCCGAGTAGCAGACTTTCTCGGCGCAACTTCCCCGGTTCCGCTGTGATGCGCTCCTTGTCCATTTTCAAAGGCAAAACTGCGAGTATGTCTTCGGATAAACTTTAATAAATAAGAGAGTTCGAGATTATAAATGTACATACTCCTTTTTGAATCCGACTATCCGCTTTTCCAAGAGTTGTTGATGATGGCTTTTCATCGCGAAAAATCACCTAATTACGACTTCTATATGAGCGAATGATTTGACTTCCGTATTTATTCGAGTATGCCAGCACACACCCTTTAGGAAAATGCGCACCTCAGATGTATGGCTAAAATTTTGCGAAAAATCCTCTCCCCATCAGTTTCCAAAATATTAACTGAAGCTCTCGTTAAAATCGAGATCAATGGTGATTTGTTTTCCATACAAATAATACGGGTAGTATCACTAAAATGGAGAGCTCTGGAAACAAATTTTAAAATTCGGGAGAAAAAATGAAAATTCTCGAGGAAAATATTCATTTTAACTTTTGTTTACCCGACTATGACGTGAGCCTAATTTTTGTTTGCTCCAATTAATTGAAAAAAGGTGCACGTGGTACTCAAGTAAATATGGTTTGCGCTGATACATCAAATGAAGTTAGTCAAATTAATAAGATTGCCAACCAAAATCACTTCTGTATATAAGTCGCAGTGATTTTTTTTAGAGTTTCTGCTGCCGGGGTTCTATTTCTAGCTAGATGAATGTCCAAGATAATGTAAAGTGACTTATTTAATCTTTCATGTTCAAAACTGTCGGCCATATTCTCTCTCTCTATGTGCATACTGCTGCTTTCATGCATTTATTCCTTGCCACGCTCTCGGAAGACGGATCAGACATAGCAGAAGGTGCAGTAGATCCGAATCACAATTCCACTCAGACGAGCCCCGACGACAAGTGATGCTTCTAAACTGCCTTTTTTGTTCTTCTTGTTTTCCTCCTTCGCGTCTGTTCTCTCTCTCCCCGCCCCCCACTTGCTCTCCTGCTACTCCTCCTCTTATATTGCGCATTGGACCATCATGGGAAATAATGAAGACAAACTGGATCGTGGCAGCCTGGGAACGTCGGTGACGAGTCGTCGCAGCGTGATGACGCAGATCGACGGGGACGGCGAGTGGGATGACGTGGCACTTCCGGCCAGTCTGGCCAGCAGCTACGAGGATTCCCACCACGTCCTCATTGAGATCCCGCAAAATCACAAGGGATCTCCCAAGGTGGGTATTATTATGAAATGCTTTATGAATAAAACACGAGTTTAAAAAGAAAATCACGCGAGTTGAATTTGTGTATTCAGTACAGATTCTTTTATTCATTCACTTGATTCCATAATTCTATGTTTAAAATTTCAAAGTGCGTTAAACATTTAAGAAATCTGAAAAAATCTGATAGGTTTCACTTGGATGTTTGACAAGTATTGCGGAATTTTTTTTTTCTTGAAAACTTTGCTGATAAGTTACCGTATTCTGCCTTGTAGATGTCGGAGTATCTCCGGGAATTTGTAGCATTAAAAACAAAAGATTAAAAGGGGAAATATCTACGGTTAACATTTTATGTATTTTTACATATTCGTGAGCGTGACTTCCTTGCTGACGTTTCTATCAATTTATTTTGAAAATCCCGAAGATTATTGTCACACATTTTTAAAATGGTGTGAAAATAAAATCCACTATTGGTGACACCTGGTCATCTGGTCGAATATTCGGACCTTCGTTTCTTTGAAAACTTTACTGTTACAGTATCATGTATTCTATGTTGAGCATATCAGAGGTATGGAGTATCTTCAGTAATGTGTATAGCAGCATTTGACATTAAAAGAAAATTGAATCTGCACAGTTACAATTTTATTTGTTCGCAGAATCGAGTCAAAAGCCCTGTTTCCTTGTAAAATTTGCTTTAATTCTAAACCGAACATCCTTCAGTTGATGAAGAAAGATGAATTGAAAATACAGCAGTACAACACTTGAAAACGCATTTTACCATAAATTCACCATCATTCGTTATCCGAAACAGACTTTTCACTGTTATCCTTTTCATACATGAAGATAAGATTTTGTGCCGTTTTCTTCTGCATAGTTATTTTTGTGTGTGTCTTGAACTCGAGAAAAAGGATTTTATTAAATTTTTTGGAGGACTTTTACCCAAGTTTTGGTCACCGCTCACCAGGGACAATCAATTAAATATATATTAATTGAGGTCTAAGGGAGAATGTGTTCTAATATGTGGATATTCAGACATAGGACAAGGTCCACTGTGTCCGCATCTCGGGGGATCCCATTTTTGCTCCAATTCAACAACATCTGTTGCTTAGAATTTAATATTTAAAATCCGGAATGAAACAATAAATAAATACCACAGCCTCCAAGTGTCCCCCCCATTTGCATTATTCGTTGATTACAAATTCATTACATTATTTGATTATATTTGAAATGCATTACATTTGATGAGAATTTGATTAAAAATTCTGAAGATGTTGTGCTTTAAATTAATTTTTACATATATTTTGTTACCAATGTCAGGGAATGAATGGGTGTATGCATACATGTCAGATGTCCAGTTGTATTCCATGTTGTGTTGTATTTTCCTTTATTTTTGTTATTAATTTGTGCTCTGTTTCCTTCTCTGAAGTGATTAAAATGTCATTGAGTGNCTTTTTTTTTTTCTGCGAGCCAATAATGGTTATTCTATTTTGAGCAGAGTCTGAATGAGCGGAATATTCGGCTGTCAGGGAGAAATACCGAGTGGATTTCGAGAACAGTCTCACATTTCTGCAGTACTTTCTTTGATGGAATACCGCGATGAAACGCTCTTCAATGAGAAAAACATCGCTTTGTAAAAACAGGAAGCAAGAAAACTATAGGAATACTCAACAAATTCCGTCATATATAAGCTCATGACAAATACCGCGTATAACGAATTTTCCAGCGTATATGCATATTTTCAAATTCCCTGCAGAAATTCTTTAAAAATAATTAAAAATATTCACAATCTTGACGTAATTCTCAAATGTAGAAAATTTAAATAGAAAAAAATTCTGGAAGTGTTCTACAGTGTGACCTTGAGATGTGGACATGAATGGTGCATGGACATTATTGTCCCTAAGTAAGAATGTCCACGTGTTGGACCCAGTTTTCCCCTAGACTTCAATGGGAATATTTTGAATTGTTTCTCCTGTAGATTGAAAATCAAGAAAAATTCTCCCCAAAAATTGAATAAGATTTTATTCTCAGCTTCAGGATGCAGAAAATGAATGTACAGAAGGAAAGTGCAGGGAATCTGATCTTCTGGCATAAGAAGGAAATCAATAAAGAACAAATAGAACAAGAAGTCCAGCTATACTAAGCAAAGATGATGTTAAAAACTGAAAAAGCACAAAAGCGGCCTCGTATGACTTGCGGATGATAATTTTATTAGGGAATTTCTTTTTTGTAATTGTGAAGGTAAATAGATCACTTTATTTGAGAGATATGGAAACAATTCAGAAAATTTTCAAATATGTCCATCTTTTGAATCTTTCTGTGGATCTTGTGGGCAGATTTTTTTCAATTCAAAATGTCCCCAAGTTGAATCATCCATATGTTAAAGGGTGTTTGCATTTGGGGTCTCACTTATTGATCAAAAAATGTTTTCCTGTTCTCAGCTATTTTTTTCATTTGCACACAACACAAAGCTTAATTTTTATTTCAGTCACATGTCTGTGAATCAGTCTTAAGAAATGTGAATATGAAGGGCTGGATATGTGAACACAAGTAGATATTCAAGGGCAGGAGTTCCTTGTTTATTCCACCATACGACGGGGACGGCGAGTGGGATGACGTGGCACTTCCGGCCAGTCTGGCCAGCAGCTACGAGGATTCCCACCACGTCCTCATTGAGATCCCGCAAAATCACAAGGGATCTCCCAAGGTGGGTATTATTTTGAAATACCGTATGAATAAAACACAAATGTAAATATAAAATCACGCGAGTTGAATTTATATATTCAATACATATTCATTCACGTGATTCCAGAATTCTTTGTTTAAATTTCAAAGTGTGTTAAACATTTAAGAAATCTGAAAAAATCTACTAGGTTTCACTTGGATTTTTGACAAGTGAGGGTTTTATAAAAATTTTTGGAGGACTTCTACCCAATTTTTGTTCAGAAGGACAGTCAATTAAATATATTCTAATTGAGGTCTACGGGAGAATGTGTTCCAAAATGTGGATATTCAGACATAGGACAAGGTCCACTGTGTCCGCATCTCGGGGCCCCCATTGTTCCTCAAATTCGACAAAATTTGTCACTTAGGTTTTAGCATTTAAAATCCGTGATGAAATAGTGAGTAAATTATACCACAGCCTCCAAGAATCCCCCCCCCCATTCGCATTATTCGTTGATTACAAATGCATCCTACATCTTTTCTTTGTATATAGGTGGCCAAAGATTCCTTGTTGCCGCCAGTGGCGTCTCACCGCCGCCAGGACTCGAGCAAGTCCGCCACTTCCGGCGGCGGAATGATTTTCGAAATGGACGACGTCAACACTCAGGCTGATGGACGTCAAACTCTGGAGACCCTGGAGGAAGGCACTGAGGAGGACAGTGGGGAACACTCTGCTTCAGCACTCACAAAACAAGATGAATCTTAGCTTCATCTAAAACTCTAGAGAAAAAAAATATAATGATAAGAACTGAGAGAAAGAAAAACTTTTAAGACAACTACGTGCCTGGGCCTTCGCAAAAAACGAAAAAGTTCCGAGCCGTGATGGTGAAACTATATACGGATCAAAGCTTTGTTCCATCGGTGACACTTGAAGGAAGAATGTACATTTTGTTGGTACAAAAACTTTTTTTTTCGCGTTCTGCAAGTTTTGATCTTCAATTTACTTATTGATATACGTAAATAATGCGCACAAAATGTGAACGCTGGATTTTTATTTTGTTTATCCGAGTTTGTCAACAAATATTTTTGTTGTTGCCCAAGATCATCAGGAAAAACAGTAGAACGTCGTGAAAGTCATCAGCTTTATGCACTTCATTGAGATCCATCAGAAAAGTGCACGTTAAGCTCTTCAGCAGTAATACCTCGTCTCTTGTTTTTCGCGATTTCTTCAATTCGAAACATTTTCGAAATGTTCAAACATGACGAACCAGCTGTGGAAATCACTAAATGTTTTTTTTCGCGCTGAGCAAAATTTTGCAGACCAGGGGATGATGTATCCGGTTGTAATTGAATTCATTCTCTATAGTCCTGCTTGTTTTGTTTTTTTTTTCAGCAGAATTTTGGGTATTTTTTCGCTCGAAATTCAGCTTGAATTCAGCAGAAGACTCTTTTTTTTTTGTGCGTGATTTCTCGCTTGTTTTGTTGAATATGATCAAAGAAGTTCGCCTGGAAAAATGTTGCTTATTGGATCGACTAACGCGGAATTCATGCTTTCGGATGAATGAAAATTCCGGTTCCTGTTTTTTCGGAAAGTTGTGGTGTAAAATTTTTCTCTACTCAATTCCTCCGAGCCGAGGAAGAATATTTCGCTCGCGTTCTTCATATATCTGAGCTGTATGGGAAGACTTACGCATTTATCTCCGTATGAAAAGTGTGAAAAAGAAGGACTTTTCCGGGCAAAGTACGGGTACTTGAAGAGCCGAGGAAGAATATTTCGCTCGCGTTCTTCATATATCTGAGCTGTATGGGAAGACTTACGCATTTATCTCCGTATGAAAAGTGTGAAAAAGAAGGACTTTTCCGGGCAAAGTACGGGTACTTGAAAGCGCTTTAGCCGGAATCAGCTTATATAAGCGAGGCTTGAATCGAGCATCAGATTGCCATTTTTCGGCATGATTCTGCGAATGCAGCTTTTGGAGAACCTTCCCAGATTCACGAAAGGCTGCTTGTTCAGTCGAGCGATGTCCTTCATTTCTTTTTTTTTTTCTGCGAGCCAATAATGGTTATTCTATTTTGAGCAGAGTCTGAATGAGCGGAATATTCGGCTGTCAGGGAGAAATACCGAGTGGATTTCGAGAACAGTCTCACATTTCTGCAGTACAGTACTTTCTTTGATGGAATACCGCGATGAAACGCTCTTCAATGAGAAAAACATCGCTTTGTAAAAACAGAAAACAAGAAAACTATCGGAATACTCAACAAATTCCGTCATCTGAGCATTTGAAAAATACCACGTAACGAATTTTCCAGTGTGTAGGCACACTTTCAAAGTTCCTGTGGAAATTCTTTCAAAATGATTAAAAATTTCAAAATCTAACGTAATTTACAAATATAGAAAATTTAAAAAGAAAAAAATTCTGGAAGTGTTTTACAGTGTGACCTCAAGATGTGGACATGAATGATGCATGCTGGACATTATTGTCTCTATGTCAGAATGTCCACATGTTGGATCCAGTTTTCCCCTGGACTTCAATGTGCATATTTTGAATTGTTTCTCCTGTAGATTAAAAATCAAGAAAAATTCCCCCCCAAAAATTGAATAAGATTTTATTCTCAGCTTCAAGATGCAGCAAATAAATGTACAGAAGAAAAGTGCAGGGAATCTGATCTTCTGGCATAAGAAGGAAATCAATAAAGAACAAATAGAACAAGAAGTCCAGCTATACTAAGCAAAGATGATGTTAAAAACTGAAAAAGCACCAAATTGGCCTCTCTTGGATTATGAATTGCAGGATGATAATATTATAAGGGAATTTATTTTTTGTAATTGTTAAGGTAAATATATCAATTTCTTTCAGGGGTATGGAAACAATTCAGAAATTTTGCAAAAATGTCCATCTTTTGAGTCTTTCACAGGATCTTGTGGGCAGATTTTTCAATTTGAAATGTCCCTAATTTGAATCATCCATTTGTTATAGGGTGTCTGCATTTGGGGTCTCACTTATTGTTCAAAAAATGTTTTTCTGTTCTCAGTTATATATTTTTTCATTTGCACACACGTGTTTCGAATTAAAAATAAAGTCAGTGTACAGACACTTAGTCAGAATTCTTTACACTTATACTTCCCGACCTATACACTTGTGTTCATCTATAAGTTCCCGTCCTCAAGGAACAAATAAGGTGGTACCTCCAAATGTTCCATCCTCAGGATTTCCATCCTCCCGAAATGGTAATCCTGAAACTTCAGCTGAGATGAAAACAAATATTTCTTTGAGATCTTGAATAAAACATTAAAAAAGCATATGCTTCATTTGCTGACCAACAACTTCAAAGGACAGCAGTACAGTTTGAGATGCCTGATTAACTCACCATTTTATTTGTGTGATGATTGATCTTTTGATATTTTATTTGTGATTGATCAGTCAAAACTTTTGGATTTTGAATTGATCCTGCAATGGGATAGTCATTGAGCTATCCAATTTTTTTTTCTTGTGACGATGGCAACACTTGTCTGCCAGGAATCCTATCTTGAAAAATTCCTGACTTTGGATACAACCCAGGTTTTTTTTTCCAGTATTCACGTAAGATTTGTCGAAATTCCAGTCACGAAAGTGACTTGCATCCGAATGTTCGTCGCGTATATGGTATTCGGAGAAGCTGTTGCTCTCCGGGGAACCTTCCATCTCAAATGCGATCACAACTGACGGCTTGTTAGAAATCAAAATAATTTCTCAAAAAGTTGTTGGAATCTTCCAGAGGAACATGCTTTGGACTAGACCAAATAAATATGCCTTCTTTCCACTTCACAAAATCTACATCCGCATGAGTTATTAATATGGTCAAATAACCTCTCTAAGTCAAATTTCAAGGGACCAGCAAAAACATAAGACTTATATAAACAGAGAGGTTTTGAGCTATAGGAACAAGCATTTTTTTCTTGTGCAAAACAGAAGAATAAAAGTGCATGGCATTATAAATGGTGATATTGTGGGCCTTTAAATTACTTGAATGAGTTATGACAGGATGCTGAACTTGGAGGCAGGGGTTCATTTCTCTTTAATTATTCTTGCATATCTTTTCAAAATGTATCAAGTTACTCTTCCGCTGTTCTCTTTCCAGTGTCAAAAGAAAATAAAAGCCAAAAGGCCACAGAAAATTTGAGTTATGTAGGGTTTTGGAGGAAAAGCCTTGGAGTTTGGAATGCTTCTGAAGAAAATTTAGACAGGGACCTGAAAAATTCAACTTAAAGAGGTTTTGGGCTTTGGAAGTTTTGAAAAATCAAGGTTCAACTTCAACATACATTTTCAGTGGCTTTGAGCTCATTTAAAATCGGCCAAATGAGCAGTTTTTTTTTGGGACCACGCAGCATCTCATCAGATAATATTTTCAATGTTTTTAAAATATTTTGCCCTGGAGACCCCACGGAATTCGTCAATATGCGCTGTCAAAATATGACTGAAGTCTCTAGCTTGAGAATTTGACCGGAAGAAATTGAACCAAAGTATTTGACACCAGATTAAAAAAATTCGTCAACAGCCAAAAAGTACCAGGAACTTGTTCAGTTGCCCCCACCATGGTCCCATGTCTTCCATTTATGCCTCATAAATTCGGGCGAAGCGGGACCAGGAATAAAAAATATGCCAGAGAAAAAGCGAAAGAATCGTGGTGGAGAGATATTATAAATCATCAGAATTCTAGGATGTGACGTTATGTAGAAAATGGTCGACAGTTCACTCCGTCGTACTGTAAAAGACTTCCATCTTCTGCTAAATCGTATAAATCAAAGGTTTTTTTCTTCCATCGCATGATATCTACTGCCTCCTAAACCCCCGGGATTTTATCGTGGAAAAAAACAAACTTTAAGATTTAGAACTAATTTTCAAACCTTCGGATTACTTTTTATTAAAGTAAGCTCCTGGCGCTTCTTTTGTTAAGTTGAACTTCAAAGTACTCTGATTTAACGATTAAATTACAGTATTCCATTAGGACAAAAGGTAACATAAAGTCCTACTGCGGAAAATAAATCAATCAACTTCATTTTTTACCATCCTGAAAAAATATTTTTGTTCCACTCACGCCACCCATATACAATTTTTTTTCATTGAAGCTATTCTACTTTTAAAAGAAAAAAACCTAGAAAAAGTTATAAAATACACTACGAAAATTCCCAGCGGTCAAAATTAATTGACTTTTGACAGTTTCTGCAAACCTTTCGTAAAAACCATGCATTGGAAATTCGGGATGTGAGTAAAATTAGAGAGTTTTTAACTCTTATGAATGGAAGACAGTGATTCATCCTGCTGTTTTAGGGCAAGACTAACAATTTTAATTTTCTTACAAGTTGAAGGCAAAATTGTCATGATAAGAAAACTACTCTGCGTCACCGAAACATACATTCATAATGTTTAATTAAGATATCATCAAAATATATTAGAAAAAAATTTAAAATTGGGCATTGATATTTTTGATGATTCTATTTTCTTGAAAATTTGCATCAGGCAATTTATCACAACTGACTCCTTGCATCACCATGTTTACTTGAGTACACGTGCCCTAAAGTAAGGCACGCACAGGGGTTTTCCAGTTGGAAATTTTGCTCAAATCTTATCCCTGAGTAAGACAGCACGCACCCCAATTTTTGTGAATCTATAACCATTGAAGTTAAAAAATAAAAAAATAAAATCAAATTTAACATGAATTTAACAAGAATCTGATCAATTTTGAACTGTTTCAGTGCAAAAAGTTTTCTTGTTACATTTGTTCAAAATTTCTCAATTATAATTAAGTATAAAGCTCACATAACTTTTTAAAACTTCTTGAAAATTTGTACCCACTTATGACATGCACCCCTCTTTTTCTTCTGAAATTTGAGAAAAAAGGTGCAGGTGGTACTTGATTAAATACAGTAATGAAACCTCACAAAATTACAAACATAGCTGAATGTACAAATGCTTGGCAATAAAAATTTGTTCAATTTAAAAATATTTTCCTATCAGAGAATCACATCTTGAGAGTCTGAAATATGTGGATTTGCGACTAGAATTATAATTTCTAACATTCATGCGTTGTCAGACATGTTGAAGCCAATTCCATTTCCTCAACTACTAAAAGCTGATAAAAATAGCACCTTTTTTTGTTTGAAATTCTAAATCTTGATTAAAAGTTTGGAAGCCTAATGAAAAATAATTTCATTCGAGGACCGCGAAGAAAACAATTCAACTTGAAGTTTCATGAGACTAAATTGAATTAAATTACAGTATTCCATTAGGACAAAAGGTAACATAAAGTCCTACTGCGGAAAATAAATCAATCAACTTCATTTTTTACCATCCTGAAAAAATATTTTTGTTCCACTCTCGCCACCCATATAAAATTTTTTTTCCATTGAAGCTATTCTACTTTTAAAAGAAAAAAACCTAGAAAAAGTTATAAAATACACTACGAAAATTCCCAGCAGTCAAAATTAATTGACTTTTGACTGTTTCTGCAAACCTTTCGTAAAAACCATGCATTGGAAATTCGGGATGTGAGTAAAATTAGAGAGTTTTTAACTCTTATGAATGGAAGACAGTGATTCATCCAGCTGTTTTAGGGCAAGACTAAAAATTTTAATTTTCTTACAAGTTGAAAGCAAAATTGTCTGGATAAGAAAACTACACTGCGTCACTGAAACATACATTCATACTGTTGAATTAAAAAATTTTCAAAATGAAAAATCCTGAAAAATTGGACATTAATATTTTTGATGATTTTATTTACTTGAAATTTTGCATCAGGCAATTTATCATAACTGACTCCTTGTGTTACCATATTTACTTGATTACCATGCGCCCTTGAGTAAGGTGCGCACAGGGGTTTTTCAGTTGGAAATTTTGCTAAAATCTTATCCCCAGTAAGACAGGCACCCCAATTTTTAATGAATCTAAAACCAATAAAGTTCAAAAATAAAAACAAAAATTGAATTTAACATGAATTGAACTAGAATCTGATCAATTTTGAACTGTTTCAGTACAAAAAGTTTTCTTGTTACATCTGTTCAAAATTTCTCCATTATAATCAAGTATAAAGCAAACATAACTTCCTAAAACGTCTTGAAACATTTTTACCTGCTTATGACGTGCACCCCTTTTTCTTCTGAAATTTGAGAAAAAAGGTGCACATGGTACTTGAGTAAATACAGTAATCAAACCTCACAAAATTACAAACATAGCTGAATGAACAAATGCTTGGCAATAAAATTTTTTCAATTTAAAAATGTTTTTCTATCAGAGAATCACATCTTGAGAGTCTGAAATATGTGGATTTGCGACTAGAATTATAATTTCTAACATTCATGCGTTGTCAGACATGTTGAAGCCAATTCCATTTCCTCAACTACTAAAAGCTGATACAAAATAACCTTACATGCAATGAAAGTCACCAAAATCGTCCAGATAATCAAACATATTGAAGGTACGTATGGACTTTCCTCTCATCGTGCTGTTGGCATACGCTCAACTCTACTGTTTCGCTTCGGTTTATTTGCTCGCAGTGAATAATATCGGCTTTCTCCTCGAACTCATCAAAAGCGACGAAATAATATCAAGAGGCAAAATTTTCCTCCCGAAGGATATCATACAGGATTTAATCATGGGGCTGATGAGGAAATCCGAGCTCTGGGAACGGCTGAATCTGCAAGACGAGATCGGCAGGCAAAACTGCGTCATTGTCGTGATCTGCGGCATTTTGTTCTTCTCCGCTTGGTGGCTCGTCATCGACACAATCGCTGTTTACCCGAAAGAAACCGACTTTGATCACAGACTGCATATCGTCACCTTTCTGAGCTCTTTGTCGATGCTGATGGTGAATCTGGTGTCGAACGACGACGTGCACGAGGCGACGTCGGTGCACAGTCGACTGACGAGGAATGCGCTGAGGTTATTTTTGCTGGCCAGTCTGGTGTTGGGATTTGGGGCTATGTCTGCTACGACATTTTTTGTGGTCCAATATTACATCCTGGAGGTGATCATGGTTTGAATGCATTGTTTTTTATGCCAATAATATTGCTGAGAACATTATGGATGTGCAGAGACCCACATTTTTTTATCAGGACTTATTTTGACGGTTTGAGCCCAAGGGAGTAGATTGAAGTGGGTTCCTGATGAATGAAAAATTTAGCTATTCAAAAGTGAATTTTTGATGCTAGAATTCCAACATTTTCTAGAGATTGAATGAAAAAAATCATATTTTTCTGAAAAGGCAAAACATTTTTTTCATGAAATCCAGTATATATATATACATAGTTTCCTTATCCCAAACTGTTAGAATTAACCCTTGGATGGCAGAGGGTTCATTTCCAGCGGGAGGCAAATTCGGGATATTTTTGGGGGGTGGAGCATTTCAGTTTGACCCAAGGTCGCTGAAATGCTCCCAGGTTGAGAAGGCCTAAGTCGGAAAAAATCCGGGAGACGGATTCTCTTTTGTTTTCAGGAATCTTCCATGCTGATCCTATACCAGGAATGCATGAAAAAACACCACCCAGTGAGGGATTTTTTTCATTTTTCATCCAAAATTTTCTGCAGGATTAGAGAAAAATTTCGGACTTTTTCCCAACTCAGGCCTTGGTACAAAAGTGGCAAATTTTGCAAATATATTCTGACTTCGCCGCACAAGGGTTAAATAGAATCTCAAGATTATGTGTCAAATGTCTTCTTTGCTTAATAGCCTTTTTATTCTAATCCAATGATTGCTTGTGGGGATAACTTCCATTGAGAAGAATTAATCTTTATGGCCAGGGCAAAGCAAGAGAGTCTACTTCTCTGATTAACCAATATGTATATATTTTGGTGCACGCAACATACAGTCCAAACCAGCCATGAGTACAGAAGGAGTGTTTGGACACTCCTTTATAGATTCCAAATGCACAAGACAGGTGACTGGCTGTGCATGGACATAAATGAACAAAAAGTAAACTGGGACATGTGAATGACTGTTTGCCAGGCACTGTTGCAACATTCAGGTATGCCAATCCCCAACAGTTGATATGCAGACCACAAAATACAAAAGTCAGATTGAGAATGGGGTATTATGAACATGTTTGAGGACTCATTAAAGTTATGATGACAGTTTATTAATTAGATTGCCTGGATCATGTCAGAATTGATCTCCTCTTCCAAATTAAGAGGGTGACCAAATGAAGCAATTGTGAGCCCACAACTTGCATATATTTTCTGCTGCGGCAGAACAGCTCAAATCTGTTCAAAAATCTGCTTTTCTTTTGTCCATTGCCAAATATTCCCATCTTTTAAATTTATCCATTTGTCTTTAGTGGAAAATTAAAAATTTTGTGTTCACAACTTTCTGAAATTCTTGCCTTTTTAATACAGGTGGGTACTGCACAATTTGACATCACACAATTTCACTTTGAATTTGCAGGGCATCAACTTGCAATTTGAACTCGTGTCTGCAATTGGACTGGCAAATAAACTAAAAATTTCAAATTTGATGTATAGAAAACATCAATCTTGACATTTTTTTTTCAAATTTTACCCCTTCAACATTGGCCCCTTAGCTGACAATGGATTAGGGTCAAATTGCAGGGCACCACATAGGCTGTAAATGAATTATTTGAAAATGTATTACGCAGGAAATTTTTTCATGTCAGTGTTCCCTTCTGGACATTTTTATGATGAAAAATTGGCTGAGGCTGTTGGGAAAAAGGACAATTTGTGCCGGAATAGAATTGCCTTGATCCTCAGTTATTTAAAAACTGCAGAATCTATCCTTCTCTGAGGCCTGTGAGCCTGTCCTTGCTGAGCCTGGGAACTGAACTTGGGTTTGGATCCCAAACTCAGCCAGGACATTCCTAAAAAAAACCTCTTTCCCTGAAATAATTCTTCATGGCTTGAATCAAAATTGCTTCCTGGGTTCTAACTCTTCACTACTTTGCATACCTTGTGTTTTGGTTGCAATATTCCAAGCTGATCTCTGAACAGGGAATCTATTTTCTGAGTGTTCATCAAAACTTCAAAATTTGTGTCTAAAAACCTGGTAAGCCTATTTTTGGGTGTTAAAAAGATTCTAGGAATATGTCAACGTGCTACAAGTCTAAGGGAAAATCAGACTTGACTTAGGTACATTTCGAGATTTTTGACTTAGGGCCACTCTTGATGCACCAATTACGACGTCCGCATCTCGGGGTCTCACTGATACTTTGTTTTTCGGATGCACAGACGTTTCGTCGGGACCTATAGAAACTTCAAGAAATTCGAATCAATTCCCAAAATGAGTTCACCTATTCATTCTTATTCCAATGACAGGCAAGAAAGCCATCTTGGCCCGGAGTCGCATTCGGTCTGGAGAACGTCTTCATTTTAGCGTCTTCCCTGATGTATCGTTTCGGCAGACGAGAAGACCCGTGGGACGGCGTTTTCTCCTGATACTCTCGTATTTTCATCGATTAAGAAAGAGCATTGAATTTTAAATGCATCCGGCATTCAATTATTCGGTTTTCAATTGCAATCATTCGGCTAACACGAGCTGTTCGAGCCGTTGAACGAAGTTTCCTCTGCAGTACAGTACTGTACTTGGAAATTTTCAGATGCCTCAGTCATCAGCTTTTGAAATTGATCTTCATGCTTGGGATATTAAACGTTTGAAGCTGTGGGAACTGACACTAAATGACACCCTTTCTGGTGATGAATGTATACAATTCTTCTTTTAAAATGGATTCTGAAACGTTTTGTAAAAAAAAGGAACAGCTGTCAGAGGCAAGTCAACCCAAATACATTGAGACCCCCACATGTGGACGCCTCAACCTGCGGACAATTCGACATACGGACAATAATTCCTTCAGAAAAAATCAATAAATAAGGCCCAACATGTGGACACCGACTCAACATAGGGATGTGATAAAATTGCAAATACATTTCAGGCCAAATCATAAGAAACAGATATTTCCAACCCTAAAATTGATGTAAGAAAAATTCTTGGGCATTTATCTCACAAGATCACCATCCATTTAGCTAATTAAAAAAATTACCTCTGGCATAGAGGGACTACAACTTTTTCCATTGAATTTTATTTTTGTAGATGCCAAATTGTCAGTGTACAGTACAGAGATACACTATTCAATGCTCAAAATGTTCTCATTGAGTTGAAAATGTATTCACTAATTCAAATTCAAGCAGCAAACAATTTTTTTCAGGGAATTCTGAAGAATATTTCTTCCATAAAACAATTAAAAATTATATTATATACGTTGATGGGAAAACAAGTCTTGACTTAAGAATATTTCATCTTGGGGACACTCTTGATGGACCAATTACGTCCGCATCTTGGGGTCTCACTGTATATATTTTTAGCCCTTATTGTGTTGAAACCTTTCAGGCACAGGAACAATGAAATACAGCAGGAATAATGGCAGAGCCATGAACAAGTATTGAATACATTTGACAATCAAGCAGTTTGTGGCCATGAATATGCTTGGAAACTTTATTATTTGTTTTAAATATCATCCAATTTGAAATATTTTCTTTTTTATAAGCCATGAATGCAGCAAAGAAAATCCCAAAACAGAAATTCATGAAAATAATGTACTGAATAAAATGCGGAATTGGTGAACGTTAATTCAACGAATAAAATCACAACCAAAGAAACTGGTCACATGCTCAAGTATCAGCTGGTCTAGCTCACAACTAGAACTTTTCATTGATTGAGCACAGAATCACGCGGATTTTATAGATTTCTCGTGTTTTATTGGGAAAAATGACGACAAAACGGTAAAATTATTTCTCATGCATAGTATTTTTAGTGGATGGAATCGAGAAAGCCTCAGCATATATTGAATAAAAGTAAATACGCCATTTTCGTCAAGATTCCATCGTTTTACTGAGAAAAGTCGATCAGGTAAATGATTATCTTTTTTCTCGGGCATCGTGGTTTTTTCCTTCTCTCATCGAAAGTGAAATATATTTCTGGTGATCACAACTATTCGAATCATGAAATAAAACAATATACAGTGGGCCCCCATCTTACGTTATCAATCCGTTCCAGGATGGATGTCATAACATGGGGCCGTCATAAGTTGAAACCCTATTTCCCTTAAGATTACATTATAAAAAAATTAATTCGTTCCAGAAAAAAATATTAAACTAAAATTACCTTTATATTTCAAATTCCTCCTAAACAAAATTATTCAGCTATAATTAAATGCACAGGGCAGTACAGAACACACAAAATTCAAAATCCCTCCTAAACACAATTATTCAGCAATAATGAAATGAACTGTACAGCACACACAAAATTTAAAAAATGCTCCAAACACAGCAATTTCCAAACTCAAGGACAATTTATTTCCTGTGCATGGCACCATCTCACACTATTAACAGTTTAATCTGGCTAGGAATGAACCTTGGCAAAAAAAAACTCACTTCCTCCCAGGAAAACCTTTGGAGCATGCATGGCACCAAAAAAAATGGTTGGTGGGAGGGAGCTGAAAAACCTCAGAAGCTGTCGTATCATGAAACCCTGACGTAAGTTGGGGGTTTTTTATATTTAAAAAATTGTCATAAGTTGAAACCGACATAACATGGGCCCGTCGTAAGTCGGGGGCCCACTGTATAACCCGTCAAACCCTGTGATTGACAAAGAGATTGGCCAGTTTGTTTCCGGAGAAATAGAGAGGTGACACTGATAGGCGTTTCAGCAGGTTTTCCTGGTTGCCTTCTATATAACCCCCAGCATGCATAAGGCAAAAGAAAACGGTTGGATTAAGATGTGGTCTTGTGATATTATTGGCAGCCATGCAATATGAAAAAGACCCTATCGAACACAAGAACGAGCAAAAAAAAAAAAAAAAAAGGCCGCAAAAATCCGACCGACCCACAGAAAGCAGGGCTTCATTCCGTGTATAAACACACACAAAATATATAAACAGATAAAAATGCAGAAAAAATAGTTTTCTGCAGCAGGAAGCAGCAGCTGTGCTGCTGCATATATGCTGGTCTTTTCCTCGCGGGGGGAAAACAAAACGCCGGGGACGAATCAAGGCAGCAAGCCCGAAATTCCGAAAACGGCGTGGTCGATACAGTAAATATTTCAAGGGGAAATGTGTCCGATTTTTTCAATTCCCCCCCCCCCCCCACACCACGAATGAGTCGAAAGAAATAACGACGGCAGACGACGACGACGACGATGAAGCAAAGAAATGGGGGAAAACGTTCAAGCTCCTTCTCGTTTTTGGTTTTTTTATATGCGTACATATACAGTATATATTTATACATGCGAGTATACAGTAATACATATATACGGTATATTTTTCTCCACAGTTCTCGTATTTGTAACCTATATGCTGGCTACGCTTCAGATTCCGAACAAGGATAAACGACATCCGCCTCCGGCTTACGAAGGAAGTTACAAGAAGTTCTTCAGAATTTGACAACTTATTTTTTTCAAGAGGTTTTCTCTGAAATTATCGGTGAATTGCCTGATTATGCATCTTCGCCTGCCTTTACTTTGTGCGCCTTCCTGGAATACTCTAAATCAGTGTTCACCAACCTTTCTGGGTCTGCTGGGTACCTGCAAATTTCCATAAAATTTTTGCAGACCAGCAAATTCCAAACAAAATTTCTGTGGACTGGCAATTGAAGTTTCATGAGTTTTACAAACTTAAAAAAATTTTGCTTGATAGAGTTTATGGCAGGCGTATAAAAGTTTCTGCTTCTTGTAAAAATTAAGTTAAGCACCTTATGAAGCAGCTATAGCTGAATGTGAACAAAAAATAAGAAAGGTGGACTTCCAGAGAGGTTTGCTGGAATAGAAAATTAAAATAATGTATTTCCTTGAGTAAAAATGAGTCAGGAGTGCTACTAGGAGAAGAGCCAACTATTGTTTCTCATTGAATGATTTCAACTACTGTACCATTATCTTTCCTAAGTTTTAGAAAATGATAACAGTTCATTCCTACTTTTAATGAATATTTTATGCTGAAAATTTCCTGCAGACTGGCAACACATTTCTGCAGACTGGTCCTGGTTTGCAGACCATGGTGTGGGGCAAGGCTCTCACAAAGAACACATTTCAGATAAACTATCAGGATTAAAATGTAAGACACAATCTGCTGGGGAACACAGCAAAGACGAGATAAATTCTTTCAAATCAGACAATGGTTTGCAGACCATGGTGTGGGGCAAGGCTCTCACATAGAAAACATTTCAGATAAACTATCAGGATTAAAATGTAAGACACAATCTGCTGGGGAACACTCCAAAGACGAGATAAATTCTTTCAATTCAGAAAATAATTCACACCAAAAATATGATGCTCATGATAAGTGAACTCAATGCAAAGGAAATCCAGACTGAGGGAAAAAGTTCTGCATTGAAAATGGAGGTAAAAAAGGTTATGGTGCAATCAGTGGAATCCCAGCAGCATGGAATTTCCCCATTGGAGGTTTTTATGCAAAGGTTGGACAAGGGATTTCCTGGTCTTGGAAAAATCTGTGCCTTACATAAACCCCCCTTTAGAGCAGCATCATCCAATGGTTGAAAAGGGAGAATATTTTTGTTGTTGTTGCTAACCTCTAATACTTACCATTGAAGTGTGATCTTCAGTGATGAATACATTTTGGATTTCTTGGAAGAATTTCATGTTAGTGGATGCTCAATATTTGGGGAGTATTGAGCTATAATGTAATGAATTAGTTATTCAATATACCACTAAATTATTGAACTATACTTTAATTTGTGTGTATGAATGATGAATGAACGGAAAGCTTTATTTTCTGCTTTTCAGCATTCACAAGGTTCAATCAACATTTTGACATCCAAACCCCCTCCCCACCAAAACCAAATTTATTCAAAGACATTCAATCACTTAATTCAGAGCGGGAAACAGGGAAATTAGATGCAAATGGATAACAAAAATAGAAGAAAATACATTCTAGAAAATACAACTGCAGATCTGATATTTATGCATTACCCCTTCTTTCCCTGACATTGAAAACAAAATACCAGTAACAAGAATTGCAGCATAAGCCAGACTTAAAGCAATTGCAGCAGTTAATGAACCCAATTTAAAGCACAATGTCTTCAGCTTGTTTCCAGATGAGATGTAGTTGAATGAACAATTTAGAGAGAATCTTCGATGAGAAATCAAATAAGGCCAATGGTTTATCTTGATCCTACAAGATTTCAGAAAGGGTCTCTTGTTTGAATTCCAACACAGTACTTGTAAACCTTTGTTAAGCTCATTTCTATCAGTATAGAATGATTGTTTATGAGTGCATAAGAAGAGAAGGTGCTCTGGTGATGCACCAACTAGGGTATTTATACTGTAGGAATTACACCACTTAGACACCTTTGATAATTGGATGAATTTTTCACTGAATTGCCATGAATTTGTCAAAAGAGCTGCAGTATCATGTATCCAGGGGATGTTAGATTATGCAAATAGTAATGGTTTAGTATTGCCACAAGCAAGATCA